AAGTCCACCCAAACAAGTGCAGAGGACACTAACACAGAACAAAGTGGGAATCACACAGCTGAAATCAATGAATCAACGGCTTCTGAAAAAAAGAAATAACTGCAGAAAGGTATAGAGGAACTCAGACTGGAAATGAAAAAAGAAATCCCTGAATTAACAGCATCTGCAGTAAAAAATCAAATGCAGAAACATATGGAGGAAACCCAGTGCCTACACAGACCAAGTACAGAGGACACTAGCTCAGCTCAAATGTATGAATTAATAGCGTTGATAGTAAATAAACAACAGCAGAAAGTCATAGAGGAACTCAAAGCAGAATTCTTTTCTACTAGCTCAGCTCAATTGTATGAATTAATAGCTTTTATACCAAATAAGCAACAGCAGAAAGGTATAGAGGAATTCAGAGCAGAATTTTCTGAAATAAGAAAAGAATTCTCTGAACTCATAGCATCTCAAGTAAAGAATCAACTACAGAAACATGAGGAGGAAACCCAATCTGAAAAAACATTGCAGTAAAAGAATTTAAAACTGCTTCTAAAGAACACATTGATAAAAACAAATAGAGGTGATTAGAAAAATGATGGATTCCTTGAATGAGCAATACAGGAAAGAAAAAAAATCGCATGAAGCAGCATCAAAGAGATATAGAGGAATTTAAAATCTCAATCACTAGGTTTCAAAGCCGTTTAAGTGAAAGTGAAGACAGAGTTTCATCTTTTTTTTTTTTTGATGTTTTACAGGCTTACTTTTATTAGTTTGCTGTTATGCTTAATCATTATATTGATTTATTAATACTTGTTGGCAAAAAATATATACAGTAGAAGGGAAAACTAAGAAAAACTTTGGAGGAAAAATTGAAAACAGAGAAAATTCCCAACTCCTCTTCCAAATGAGAAGGTCCACTTTTATTGCTTAATTTTTTTACTAGTTCTTCATTCTGATCCAGGTGAAAACAGTTTTTTTTCACATTTTATTTATTTATTTATTTATTTATTTATTTATTTACTTAATTATATTCTTAGGTACTTAAAATTCTACATATCAGTACTTGATGAAAAATACCTGTTCCATATTATGCCTAAGATGCTTGACATGCAGACAGAGAGTTACGTTAAGCTTAACAGCCTAAGTTGTATGGTAATAACAACAAGCTTATCTTCTAGATGGTTAACAACCTAAGTTTTCAGACCAAAATTAGAGAAAAAGGAGGGCTGCAAGGAAAGCCAACATTTTGGCCTTAGCCTTCTAAAGTCAATTAAGACTCAGGACATGAGAACTTGTACTGTAACGTCATGTAACTCAGTAGTGTCCCAAATTTTCTGATCAAGGAGATTATGGGTCCAAAGAGGAAAGTGATCGATGATGTAGAGTGTGCCTAAGGAGAGTCACATGGAGAGAAAACATTCTCTCAGGCTTTCACAGAGAGCACATTGGCCAAGCAATGGCCATGACTCATCCACATGGCTGACACTGACAAAGGTTCTACAATCTGAGGTACAGGATCTCAGGATAAATCCTGAGGGGATTTCACTGACCTTATCAGACCCAAAATCTACAACTGTTGTTGCATATTTTTTGCTTTACCTTGATCTTAACTGTCCAGCAGAAAAGTATAAAAATAAAATATAAGAAGTAAAGCCATGCTGTTATGTTGAGCTGTAGGGGACTCAGGTCAACTATTTCTGACGTTGCCAGTGAAGCGGAAGACCCAATACTATTATGGACTACTGGACTCTTTTAGAATATTTTGCTGGGTTAGCACACCTATAATATTCAAATAATGGAACTAAACCAAAAAAAAAAGGGATGGAGATGAATGTCCATTTTTTATCTGTGTACTCAAAATGGTTAGGATAGATATATAGTTACATTCTCTTAATGAATAAAGAGAATTTGTTCTAATAGTGTTTGTAAATAGGATATCAAGTCTGCATCTTGTACAGCAAATAACCACTAGGAAGAATGTATGCAATGTGTTAAGTACTGAAAGTGTCCTACTAATTTTGTTTGAAACTGTCTCATTGCTATTTATTTCTCAAAAAAATTATGGGAAAATTTTTTTTTAAAAAGATGATATGGAAATGTTATTATTTACATTTTTTCTGTTTAGTTGTTGTTTCATAGCACTTGGAAATCCAAAGGAGAGGTAAAATCATTAGGAATTTATTATCAGATATTTATAATTTAATTTATTCTATTTTGTCACAAATATAATCTTAGGTTTTTATGTAGATAATGAGAGAGAAATAAAAGCAATAAGAATAAGTAAAGAAATAGTTAAACTATCATGATTTACATAAGACATGATACTCTACTTGGAAAACCCAAAAAACTCTACCAAGAGGCTCCTAGAATTAATAAAAAAATTCAGTAGCATAGCAGGTTACAAAAGACAACAAACTCAGTGAGAGAGAAATTAGAGAAACAATACCCTTCACAGTAGCACCACAAAAATGAAATACTTAGGAATTAATCTAACTAAACAACTAAAAGATTTATTCAATGAAAATTAGAGTACTCTGAAAAAAAGGATAGAAGAGGATTTCAGACAATGAAGATATTCCTGTTCCTGAATATAAGGAACCAACATTGTGAAATTGGCTATACTCCCAAAATTGTTATAGAGATTTAAAGTGAATCTCTATCAAAATACAACCAATATACCTCAAAGATCTAGAGAAATCATTCCTAAAATTTATTTGGGACCAGAGAAGACCTAGAATATCAAAGGCAAATGTGGGCAACAAGGCAAGGCAGGAAGCATTGCAATGCCTGACTTGAAATTATATTACAAAGGTAACTGTGATAAAATCAGTATGGTAGTGGCCAAAATAAAACAAAACAAAACAGATCTGAGGATCAGTGCAACAGATTGGAAGATGCACATATAACTATAAACACTCTCAGACATCTTATCTTTGACAAAGGGACCAAACATATTCACTGAATAAAAGATAGCCTCTTTAGAAAATGGTGCTGGAAAAACTGGTACTCCACATGCTGAAAACCGAAACTAGACCCGCGTCTATCACAATGCTCTAAATTAAAGTTAAAATGGATTAAAGATCTAAACGTTAAAACAGATACTTTAAATTGACTGAAAGTGAAAGTAGGTGGAAATCTTGAAGATATAGGGGTAGGTAGTCATTTCATGAACAGAAGTCAAACTGTGAAATACTTGAAAGAATCAACAACTAGGACCTCCTTTTATTGAGAAGTTTCTTCATGTCAAAAGAATTTACCAACAGAGTGAAAAGACAACCCACAAATTTGGAAAAATATCTTAACCAATAATCACTCAGACAAAGAACTTCTATGTAGAATATACAATGAAACAAAAATAATTATGGCCCCAAAATTTAAAGACTCAATCGAAAAACGGGCATCTGAGATTAATATACACTTCACTGAGGAAGAAATACAAGGTCTAATAATTACATGAAAAAAAAGTTCCACATCACTGGTCATTCAAGAATGCAAGTTAAAATAACATTGAGATACCATTTGGGCTGGCTCAATAGCTCAGTAGACTAAAACACTTGCTTAGTGAGAGCACAGTGGCCAGGGTTCGATCCCCAGCATGCCATGCTGGCCTCACCCCCAGGCGCTTTGAGATGGCAATTGAGACTGAGTGTGGTGACATGAGCCTGTCATCCCAGGGCTTGGGAGGCTGAAAACAGGAGAATCACTATGAACTCTATCCATGTAATGAGACCATGTGCACCCTGTACACCCTGCCCTAAATTAATTAAGTAAAAGAGAGAGAGAGCTACCATCTCACCCTGGAAAGAATGGCTATCATAAAGAAATCAACCAACAACAAATGCTGGAGAGTCTGCAGGGAAAAATGAACGCTTCTTCATTGCTGGTGGGAATGCAGACAGGTACAACCATTCTGGAATTCAGCGTGTAGCCTCCTCAAAAAATGGACTGGAAATGCCATTGAATCTAGCTATTCCGCTTCTGGGAATTTCCCCCAAAAGATCTGAGAAGATTATACCATCGTGATATGTGTGCATTCATGTTTATAGCAGCACAATTTGCTCCAGTCAAATCTTAGAAACAACCAAAATGCCCATCACCTAAGGAATAGATGAAAAAGATGTGGTGTTTTTATACAATGCAATATTACTCAACTGTAAAGAAAAAAAAATTAGAAGCCTTCATAGGTATGTAAATGGAACTTAACGCTATACTCATAAGTGAAATAAACCAACCTACATGTTCAAATATCATATAGTTTCCATAATATAAGACCCTAAAAAATGAAATAAAACCTGAAAAGTATAACAGATACATTTAAACAGAAAGAAACAGAACTTGAGGATTAAACAAAGAAGAGGAGAGAAAGGAGAAAATATAGGAAAAGTGGCAGAGACAAAAACATACAAATAGATATACAAGATGGATGAGATGATTTTATTGAGAGTCAGTTTTATGAAAATAACAGTACATGTGTAGAACTCTCACCTTGACTAAATCTACATGCAGATAACGGTGAACTAAGCAACTACATGAGGACTGCAATGTGTAATACAAAAACTATGCTTGAAATACCTGTCTACTTGGTCTTCTAAATGTGTACCTTTTCTAAATTATTACTACACTCTATTTTTTTTTAAGAAAAAGGTAATAAAAGAAAAAGAGTAAAAAACAAAATTTAAGAGTTCTTGAAAGCATGCAGTAATATTCAATCGTATGTCCAATCTTGCATAACTATATCTGCTAATCTGAGCAAGAGATTTGATGATAAAAATATACATCCTTCATTGTTAATCAACTATTCTTGTTTTGAAAATCTGTAATATATATGTTATTGTATGTTACCCTGTTTCTGCATTTGCTTTTTTTGCTTTTGTTTTTACCCTTCAAAATAAAATTATAATAAAAAAAGGATTTTCAGAAAAATGCAAGTTAGAAAAGTAATTTTTCATAGATCTCTATCTACTTAATATGCATGATCGTCATTTGTTCAGTGCTCCACATATTTAAAAGCATAGGTGGTACAGCACCCGCATGAATCAAACAGTCCAGAGGATATTGGTGGCCATGTCCTGGGTGTGTGCCTTCACCAATGCATTGACCCATACTGTGGCCATATCCACACTCAACTTCTGTGGCCCCAATGTGATCAATCACTTCTACTGTGACCTCCCACAGTTGTTCCAACTCTCCTGCTCCAGTACCCAACTCAATGAACTGCTGCTTTTTGGTCTGGGGATCCTCATGGCTGGTGCACCTGTGATTCTCATTGTTACCTCATACATCCACGTGGCAGTAGCAGTCCTGAGAATCCGCTCCGCTGAAGGCAGGAAGAAGGCCTTCTCCACATGTGGCTCCCACCTCACAGTGGTAGGCATCTTCTATGGGACTGGTGTCTTCAGCTATATGAGGCTGGGCTCAGTGGAGGCTTCAGACAAGGACAAGGGTATTGGCATCCTCAACACTGTCATCAGCCCTATGCTGAACCCACTCATCTACAGCCTGAGGAACCCTGATGTGCAGGGTGCCCTGCAGAGAGTGCTCACAGGAAAGCGAATTATGATGTAAAGGGTGTCTCAGGAGAGCCCAAACAAAACAGTGGCAGTGTCTGTCTCTCTTAGATCTCTGAGCAAGATGACTTTGCTTAGAAAGTAATATTCTTGCTTCCCAAAGAGATTCTACTTAATAGTAGGCATATGCATCCTGCAGAATAATGCCTTTGGCTAGCCATTTGATCCTAGGAAACCTTCCCAGTCTAGATTGAGGTGGAACTCAAGATGTTCTGTATCCTGGAAGGGTCAAAATCCTGCAGGAAGGACTCTTCATTTGGATTTTTTGCTAAGATTATCTATAAACTGGGACATGAAAAGTCACAGCCTAGTGCAAAGAAGCAGCCCATCCTGCCATTAGACCACTCCAGAAAGCAGCTCCACCACCTGCTTTCACACTGAGTCCCACAAAATGTTTCAGAACTTGTGAAATAGAACTGGGAACACTGGTTTCCAGTACCTTGCTGACATTGCAAGATTCTAGGATACTTAAAAGTATTGGTGAATGTATATTTCTCTTTTCTAAAGAATAATTATGTATTGGCTTTTAATTTTTTCATTAGAAAATGTATTTATA